CCCAGTTCATATTTTGTAAAAGTAGCAGTAACATCATCATTGTGTTGTACATAGCCTGAGCAGAGAACAGAGTGGTGGGAGGGACCCAGTAGGCCCCACCCACTATGGGCTGCCTGCAGAGAACTAAAGAAGGAGGTGGAGACAAGACCAGTCACCTTGCACAAGGAAAGAGAGCAGAACTGAGCGGTCTTTATTACAGGAAGTTCCTGCACAGAGGCAAAGTTTCAAAGTGGATTACTGCACAGGTCTGGAAGAAATACACAAAGCACACCAAGACTCAATTAATAATCCACAATCCTCTTGTATTTAGGCAATATTTTCTTATCCAGGAGTTCAACTCTAAAGGGAATTTACAGCTGACAAGTTGATTTTTCAGACTGCAGGGTGGTATAAGGTGGAATTCCCCCTCTCATTTCACATTCAGTTACAGTAACAAAGCCCAGTACAAATGTAACCGGAGAAAGTTGTTCAGAAGAAAAGCCTCTGTGTTATCCATACCACGCTGAGAGGAAAGGGGGGGAAGACATTGTTTATATACTGAGGCCGACATCTGAAACTATTTTACTCTCCAGGCAGAGGCGTGCTATCGGGTAATAAAGTGTGAGCCTTGTTTATAGTCATCCTGGGCCATTCATTGGCCAACCACACGCTTGTCACTGCGCACATTTCTGAAATATCTTCACAATGAATCCACGCAGCTCCCCAGTGTCTGCCGTCATGGCTGAGAAGTTACTGCGGGAAAATAACTCTCACTTTTCTATATTTCTCTTTCTTTCTCCATTTTCCTGATTCCAAACCTTACTGGGTCTTTCTGTGCCCAGAAACTACTTTAAAATTTGCTGGCCCCTGTGGGCGATCTGAACTCAGAAACCCCAATGTGTGCAGAAGCAAACATCTGCCAGTGTCCTCTGCATTGTAGTTGTTGGTCATTTACAGTGCAGCTCGCAGCAGCCTCAGGAGAGCAATACAATGTCCCTGTTACTGCTGTACCTGATCAGCAGCATAATGTCCTTGCCACTCCTGTCTCTTATCTCTTCTTAAGCTGGCCATACACGTAAAAATTTTCATTTGAGAATTTTCATTTCAGGAATATTCGTTTGATTTTCAACATGTTCATTTTCAACAGCAGTGATGGGAAAATTTGAAGGGGTGGGAAGGAAAACTTTTCTCGATCAAACAAATTTCCAGCCAGTGTATGTGGTTATCATTCAGAAATTACATTCATTTTAAAGTCGAATGCTAAAAGCAAAAGACAATTTTCGATTGAGATTCGTCCATTCATTGAATGTTCAAAGAATTTTCGTATGACTTTTCCTACAAATATTCTCATCGGAAAATCTACATGTGTATGGCCAGCTTTATATATAAGGGCCATCGCCTTCTCAGCAACACAATGTCCATCACTGCTGTCTCTGATCTCTTCTTGTAGACATGTAACCTCCACTACTCAGCAGCACAAAGTCCCTGTTACTGCTATCCCTGAGCCCTTCCTATAAATAATGTGATATCCATGGCTCAACATTGACATTAACTATATGAGCATTTCCTATATGTATGTGACATCCACTACTCAGCAACACCATGTCCTTGACATTAACTATATGAGCATTTCCTATACAGGGGCAGACTGACCATTTTGGAAACTCGGACACTTCCTGAGGGCCCGGGGTCAGTAGGGGGCCCCATGAGATGCCCCTGGTACCTTTTTCATAGGCTTTTTGGAGTTTGGGCAAGGACACAGGGGCCCCATGATCCCCTATTGCCCGGGGGCCCCATGAGTTGTCAGTCCGCCCCTGTTCCTATATGTATGTGACATCCACTACTCAGCAACACCACGTCCTTGACATTAACTATATGAGTATTTCCTATATGTATGTGACATCCACTACTCAGCAACACCACATCCTTGTCATTAACTATATGAGTATTTCCTATATGTATGTGGCATCCACTACTCAGCAACACCACGTCCTTGACATTAACTATATGAGCATTTCCTATATGTATGTGACATCTAACTCCACTACTCAGCAACACCATGTCCTTGACATTAACTCTATGAGCATTTCCCATATGTATGTGACATCCAGTACTCAGCAACACCATGTCCTTGACATTAACTATATGAGCATTTCCTATATGTATGTGACATCTAACTCCACTACTCAGCAACACAATGTCCTTGACACTGCTGTTTCTGCTCCCTTCCTATAAATAATGTCACATCCACTGCTCAGCAGCATAATATTCCTGACACTGCTGTCTATGATCCCTTCCTACACTTATGAGACATTCACTATTCAACAGCACATTGTCCCTGTCAGTGCCGCCACCAGGGATGGGACAAAGGGTGGGCAGGAGGGGCGGCTGCCATAAGCACTGTGGTATAATGTGAGGTGGTGTGGGGGGGTTCTGCGTGGAGAGTTCCTACATACAAGTTGGCAGGAGTAGTTACAGCAGCTTCAGAGTAACAGACATTTGTGCTGGAGATGAGAGTATCTGTGCTAGGAGTGGGAATTGTGTGTGTGGGGGGGGGGGGATTTGTACTGCGAAAAGGAAATTCAGTGACTACAGTGATGTTCAGTTTGTTTTTGGAGGCAACATTAAGGAGTGGGGAGAGGACATGTGCTGAGGGTGATTTTTTTTTTGGGGGGGGGGGGGGGGGGGTGTGTGCTGGATGAGGTAATTTGGGGAGATTTGTGCTGGGGTGGGTGGATGGGGAAAAATAATTTGTACTAAAATGGGGATTTGCATTAGGAAGAGGTATTTGAGGGGGAGCGGATTTTTATGCTGGGGGGGGGGGGGGCCTGGAGGTGGGGGGGGGGGGGATTTATGTTCAGAGGGGAAATTTCAGGTGTGATAGAGGATTTGTGCTAGGATCGAGGATTTGGAGAGAGAAAGGATATGAGCTTGAAGAGGGGATGGTGGGGGCAAAGATTTGTGCTGGTTTGGAGATTTCAGCAGGGGGGTGGGATTGGTACTGGAAAAAGGGGAGAATTTTGTTTGGGGGTAATTTTGGATTGAAAAGGGAATTTATGCTTACGGCATGCAGATTAGTGCTCACATTTTATGGAGGGGAAGAGGGGATTTTTACTGACACATAATGCTCATATGTTTTGGGGAAGGGAGGTGCCATTTGGCATTTTTGCCCAGGGAGCTAGATGACCTTATCTCAGCACTAGCTACCACTAAACCCTTAATATAAATAATGTAACATCCCCTGCTCAGCAAGACAATATCCCTGTCACTGCTGTCTCTGATCTACACAGCAACACAATATCCCTAACATTGCTGTCTCTGATCCTTTCCTATATATATGAAGCAGATAATACTCAGCAATACAATGTCCCTGACACTGCTGTATCTGATCTACACAGCAACACAATATCCCTAACACTGCTGTCTCTGATCCTTTCCTGTATATATGAAGTGGATACTACACAGCAACACAATGTCCCTAATACTGCTGTCTCTGATCCTTTCCTATATATATGAAGCAGATCCTACTCAGCAATACAATGTCCCTGACACTGCTGTCTCTGATCTACACAGCAACACAATATCCCTAACACTGCTGTCTCTGATCCTTTCCTATATATATGAAGCAGATCCTACTCAGCAATACAATGTCCCTGACACTGCTGTCTCTGATCTACACAGCAACACAATATCCCTAACACTGCTGTCTCTGATCCTTTCCTATATATATGAAGCAGAAACTACTAAGCAACACAGTGTCCCTGACACTGTTGCCTCTGATCCCTTCCTATATAAATTAATCAGATACTACTCAGGAATACAATGTCCCTGACACTGCCATCTATGACCCCTTCCTATATAAATGAAGCAGATACTACTGAGCAACACAATGTCCCTGACACTGCCGTTTCTGATCTCTTCCTACATAAATGAATCAGATACTACTCAGCAATATAATGTCCCTGACACTGCCAACTCTGATCCCTTCCTATATAAAGGAATCAGATACTACTCAGCAATACAATGTCCTAACACTGCTGTCTCTTATCCCTTCTTATACATATTGCTTATTGAAGCATCCACAATACATCAACACAATGCCCATAACACTGCTGTCTCTGATTACTTCCTATTTAAAGTGATTGTAAAGTAATTTTTTTTTCCTAAAATAAAAAGGGGTTTATACTTATCTTCTCCTCCCCTACTGCATGTGCCCCCATATCAAGCTGCTAGCTATGAAGGCACACATGCAGGCGAGCTCCCAATCCAGGGTGTATGCGCCCATGGACACACACAGCACAGCTCGGCCTCGCCCCCTGCTCCAACCTCACAGAATTTGACTGACATGAGCAGGAACCAATGGCTCCTGCTGCTCCCAGTCTGTCCTGTGAGAAGAGGAACAGAGACCAGTACTTCTGTAGATGGGCGCCATCTGGGGCCCCAAGCAACCACTTAATCAAGAGAGGGTTCAGGTATTTTGTGGGGGGGGGGGGGGGGGCAAGCAATGGGACAAACTTTTATCTTAATGTAGGATCTAAAATTGTTGACTATTTAAATACTTAATAAGAATCATATCAATTCAACATTATTATAGAGCATGTCAGAGATTTATAAATGTACACTGCAGTAATAATGATGCACCTACTCTAAGGATCAGTGTTGAGGGGATTTTGTTGCTTTAAGCAGGATTTGCATTCCCATAAAGGACTAATAAAATGCAAAACCCAATTGAAGCAGGGCAAATGCAAGTTAGAAGCAGGCCAAATGCACTAATCAATCAATTGTGGATGATCTCAGAAGCATCTCAAACTGATCTCATCAGCACAAGCCAAAAGCCCATCAACCCAAGCCCTGGCCCAGCATCCTACTGCTACATAAATATCAGAAAATGTGGAATAATTAATACATCATGCAAGAAAAATATTACTGGGGACACGGTATGTCTCCATTCCCATCTAGCAGTAGGGACATACTGGGATCTCCCAACAATTACTGAAAAATACTTAGCCCCTCCTGGTTACCTGAAGCTCAGCACACACAGAGGTCGGTATGACTTGTGACTCGTGTTGTCATTCATGGCTTTGCCCCAAAAGTCATTCCTGAAGACGCTGCTGAGGTTGGTCTCTCCTCGGCTGTCTGGATTATTGAGGATGGCCCAGATGTCATCATGGACGAATTCTCCGAACAGAGACTTGGCGAAGCACAGACCTGCCACCAAGGCCGGAAGGGCAAACGTCCATGCACCAAGATCACCTCCTTTGGTAAAGAGAGAGTTTCTGGTTCTTCTGAGTCCAGCTTTATGGCCATCATCCTTCATCCCACTTGCACAGTGACTTTTTCAACCCCATTAGTTGCGTTCCTGGGGCTCTCTCTGTGGGTACTCATTACCCCCCCGTTGGAATGGCCTTTCTGGATGAAAGCTGGGACACTTCGCCCATTCTTCATGCTCAGGTCTGTAGGTGAGTTCTGGAGGTTCCTGGACCCCCTATGACTTGGGGGGTCATTTGCTACCTGTTTAACATTATTTTGGTTTCCACTGTTAGCCATACTTGTCCCTTGTACCAACTGTTCCACATCATTAGGAGCATTTGGGCATGCCTGATTGTCAAAAACCCGTCCAGCACTTCTCATACTCTTCACAACCAATAGGTGCCTCACATCTTGTTTGGAGCACCTCACTTTGTCTAGGGTAGACTTACTGCTCCACCCAAAACAGTACATCCCAAAATGTCCTCCTTTTTAGGGTCTTCTGTTCCTGAATCCTGTCCATCTCATCCATCCACTTTGTCAGCAGGCTGAGGGATCTCTGCAAAAAAAAAAAACCAAGAAGATATCTTATACATTGTCAGTCGAACTCACTATGCTCTCTCTTGGCCTCTGTAGGGTAGCTGTCTTTAATGAATGTTCCTCATTGGTAGGAGAGCTGTCTCATTATCCATACCACAGTAATAATGTGTTTCTTCCTGCCATCTCTTAGGCCATCACACTCTTCTATCTGTCTCTACATAGCAGCTTTGAATGTCTCTTTATCAGCTATCAACTTTATATAGGATCTGCAGATCAACTGTCTCTGTCCTGAGTTGGAAAGTCTCTCTAGATGATGCTACTGTTCTCTCAGCTCTCTGACTGTCACCTCTCCCTTATAACAGGTCAGATGAGGGATCAGCGGTCTCTCTGCCAGGTATCTCACATCTCTCTGTATAAGCAATCTGTCATGTCTGTGTACTGTACCTACCTGTCTGGGCAGTCTCTCCTCTCTCTGACACTGTGTGCAGCCCTTCCTGTCATCCCTGGATTGATTACTCCACCTGACCTAATATTTACACTGATGTCTCCACCTCTATAGCAAGTGACGCTCCATCAGCACTTCTGACATCCCACCCCCCTCCTGCATACTCCATGCAGTCCCTGCTGTCAGCGGCGCAGGTGGAGGTGTCATGGAGTATGAGCAGCTATGACATTCGCAGTGCGGTCCCCGGCTGTCAGTTCTGGCAGTGTGCGGTGCGATCTCTATACCGAGGTCTCCCTGCAGTCAGCGGAGTCTCGGCAGTGCGGTGCCCGGCTGTCACCGCTGTGTACGAGGAGGTCTCATACCTCTGGGGGAGATCTGACAGTCTGTAGGATGTCTCTGATGCTGACTGTCTCTGCAGTCTCTCCTCCTCCCTGGACTCCGCACAGCTGCGAATAAACATCAGCAGCCGCCTCCTCCCCGCGCATCCTCAGTGCTTCCTATCCATGCCTCCATCTATCCCTCCTTCTCTACACCTCCTTGACTCCATCTATCCCTCTTCTCTACACCTCTTGACTCCATCTATCCCTCCTTCTCTACACCTCCGTGACTCGGTCTATCCCTCATTCCCTGCTCCTCCGTGCCCCCGTCTATCCATCCTTCTCTACTCCTCCTTGTCTCCGTCTATCCATCCTTCTCTACTCCTCCTTGTCTCCGTCTATCCATCCTTCTCTACACCTCCGTGCCCCCATCTATCCATCCTTCCCTGCTTCTCCGTGCCTCCATCTATCCATTGTTCTCTACACCTCCGTGACTCCGTCTATCCATCCTTCTCTACTCCTCCTTGCCCCCATCTATCCCTCCTTCTCTACTCCTCCGTGCCTCCATCTATCCATCCTTCTCTGCTCCTCCTTGCCTCCGTCTATCCATCATTCTCTATACATCCTTGCAGTCTATCCTTCCTTCTCTACACCTCCTTGCCTCCGTCCTACTCCATCTATCATCTTCTTCTCCTACTCCATCTATCTCCTTGCCTCCGTCTATCCATCCTTCCCTGCTCTATCCTTCCATCCTCTCTACTCCCTCCTTGCCTCCGTCTATCTATCCTCCTTCTCTACACCTCCTTGCCTCCTATCCCTCCTTCTCTACACCTCCTTGACTCCATCTATCCCTCCTTCTCTACACCTCCGTGACTCCATCTATCCATCCTTCTCTACACCTCCGTGACTTCATCTATCCATCCTTCTCAACTCCTCCTTGCCTCCGTCTATCCATCCTTCTCTACTCCTCCGTGACTCCATCTATCCATCCTTCCCTGCTCCTCCGTGCCCCCATCTTTCCATCTTTTCTCTATACCTCCATTCCCCCATCTATTTATCCTGCTCTACTTCTCCATGCCTTCATCTATCCATCTTTCTCTACTCCTCCATTACTCCATCTATCCCTCCTTCTCTAAACCTCCATGCCTCCATCTATCCATCTTTCTCTACTCCTCCATGCCTTCATTTATCCATTCTTCTCGACTCCTCCACGTCTTCATCTATCCATCCTTCTCTATACCTCCATGTCCCCATCCATCCCTCTCTACTCCTCCATGCCTCCATCTATCCATCCTTTTCTACTCCTCCATCTGTCTATCCTCCTCTACTCCTCCGCGCCCCTACCTATCAACCTTCACCTTCTCTATACCTGCATGCCTCCATTTATTCATCCTTCTCTATTCCTCCATGCCTCCATCTATCCGTCTTTCTCTGTACCTCCGTGCCCCCATCTATCCATCCTTTCTCTCCTCCTCCATGCCTCCATCATCTATCCTTCTCTACTCCTCCATGCCTCCATCTATCCATCCTTCTCTACTCCTCTATGCCCCTTATCTATCCACCCTTCTATACTCCTCCATGCCTCTATCTATCCATCTTCTTCTCTACTCCTCCCTGCCCCCATCTATCCATCTTTCTCTATACCTCCATTCCCCCATCTATTTATCCTGCTCTACTCCTCCATCCCCCATGCCCCTATCATCTATCCTCTCTTCTCTACTCCTCTATGCCTCCATCTATCCATCCTTCTCTATACCTCCATGCCTTCATCTATCCATTTTTCTCTATAACGCCATGCCCCATCTATCCATCCTTCTCTATACCTCCATGCCTTCATATATCCATCCTTCTCTTCTCCTCCATGCCGTCATCTATCCATCTTTCTCTACTCCTCCATTACTCCATCTATCCCTCCTTCTCTAAACCTCCATGCCTCCATTATCTATCCATCTTTCTCTACTCCTCCATGCCTTCATTTATCCATTCTTCTTGACTCCTCCACGTCTTCATCTATCCATCCTTCTCTATGCCTCCATGTCCCCATCCTTTCTCTCTTCTCAATGCCTCCATCTATCCATCCTTCATCTATCCTTCCATCTTTCATCTCTCCATCCTTCTTTATTCCCCTTCTACTTCTTCTTCTCCTTCCCTCCATCTATCCATCTTTCTCATATTTCTTCATTCCCCATTTCATCTCATCTATCCTTCCTTCTTTCTTCCACATCCCTCCATATATCCATCCTTCTCTCTAGTCCTTCATCCCTCAATCTATCCCATCCTTATTTATTAACAGTGGCTAAATGGTTAGCACTTCCTCCTGGCAGTACTAGGGTTATTGGTTCAAATCCCAACCACAGCAGCACCTGCCTGGAGTTTGCTTGTTCTCCCTGTACCTGTGTGGCTTTTCTTCCGGGTACTCCGGTTTCCGGTTCTCACACTCCAACTCCAACTTGGTGGTAGGTTAATTGGACCCTGTCTAAATTGGCCCTAGTATGTGTATGTATGAATGTAAGGTAGGGACTTTAGATTGTAAGCCCCTTGAGGGTTAGGGACTGATGTGAATATTACAATATATATGTTTAAGCGCTGCATAAATTGACAGTGCTATATAAGTGCCTGTAATAAAATTAATGAATTCTTCCATCTTACCAATTCTTTCTCCATCTTCTTCATCTCTCCACCTATCCATCCTTCTTCTCTACACAATCCCTTCATCCATCCATCTTTCTCTACTCCTCCATCTCTTCATCTATCCACCCTTCTTCTTACATCCTTCTTCCATGCTTCTCTACTCCTCTTCCTTCTCTGCTCTCTCCTCTCCTTCCTTCTGTCTGTCTGTCTGTCTGTCTCTCCTATCTATCTATCCATCCTTCTCTATTCCTCCATCCCTCCATATATATATCTCCCTTCCTTTCTTTATTCCTCTATCTATCCATCTATCAATTCTTCTCTACTCCTCCATCTTCTTCTCTACTCCTCCATCTCTCCAGCCTTCTCCATCCCTGCATCCAACCCTCTATTCCTACATCCTTCTCTACTCCTCTATCCCTCTCTACATCTCCATCTATCCACCCTTCTCAATCCCTCCATCTACCCATCCTTCTCCACTACCATTCATTTCTCCATCCCTCTCTACATCTCCATCTATTCCATCCCTCTCTACATCTCCATCCATCTATCCATCCTTCTCTACTTCCTTCATCTCTCCACCCTTCTCTACTCTTCACTACTTCTCTACTCCTCCTATCTCTATCTATCTATCTATCTATCTATCTATCTATCTATCTATCTATCTATCTATCTATCTATCTATCTCTATCTATATCCATCCATCTATCTTCTCTGTCTTCTGTCTCTCCTCTATCTAATCTTCTCTCTTACTCTTCTTCTATCCTTCTCCATCTTCTCCATCTCTCCATCTATCCATCTTCTCTTTATCTCTCCATCTCCATCCTTCTTTATTCTTTCCATCCTTCTTCTCATCTCTCCATCCTTCTCATCCTCCTTTTCTATCTCTCCTCCATCCCTCATCTCTTATCTTCTTCATCTATCCCTTCATCTATCTTTCTCTACTCCTCCATCTCTCCATCTATCCACCCTTCTCTACACTTCCATCTTCTCTAGTCCTCCTCCTTCTCTATCTCCTATCTATCTTATCTATCTATCTATCTATATCTATCTCTCTATCTATCTATCTTCTTCTTCTCAATCTTCTTCAATCTTCTCCATTCTTCCTTCTATCATCTCACATTCTCTACTCTCTTCTATCTATCCTTCTCTACTCCTCCATCTATTCATCCTTCTTTACTCATCCACCTGTCCATCCATTCTTCTTTTCTACTTCATCCATCCATCCTTCTCTAACTCTATCCATTTTATCCATCTTTCTACTGCTCTTCTTTCTCTCCATCATCATTTTTCTCTACTCCTTAATCTATTCATCCATCTCTTCCTTCTTTCTTCTCTTCCATCCCTCTATCAATCCTTCTCTACTCCTTCATCCCTCCATCTATCCACCCTTCTTTACTGCCTTCTTCTATTCTTCTATGCTCCTCCATCCCTTCAATCTATCCTTTATTTCTTTACTTCTCATCTTCATTCTCTACTACTCCATCCATCCTTCTCTACTCCTCCATCCCTCCATTCTTCTCTACTCCTCCATCCCTCTATCT